AATCTGGTGATATTGTAGACTAGACACATATCTAAAATATTTTGCCTGCTTCATAGACTTACAAAGACTTCTGTTTCTGCGTTTTCAAGCTTATCACCACATGACAATGAAATGACACCGTTACATGTTTTCACACCCTTGTTCAAAACCCATATAACGCATCATAAGACATCCTAAATAAGCTTGTAAAGGGAACTCAAATCCATGAAAATCTCTATGTCACACTGGTGAACACTGAAAACACACTTAGTTAAAATGTCCTCTAATTGTCCCTGATGAGAGACGTTCAAATAAAGGCATTTGCAGGGTCACATGCTGAGTTTGGATGATCAACCGGAGCTAATCAAATTGTTGTTGGACCATTAGCAGAGGCAACTGCATCAAAGCTTCCAATCAAATGGTTAATTAAGTTTTTTTAAACAATGACAACACCATATATTTAGCTTCTATAAAAAAAACTTTGCAGACTCTTTCTGTTGACTTATTTTGTTTTGATTGTTTTCTTTGTCAGTCCACATTCTCATGATATAGAAGAATGATAAAAAATAAATTAAAAAATGTGTCAAACCACTTGACCTTCTAAACATAATCATGGACATTTATTCCATCTCTCCTCTTGGACATTAAAAATTTAAACCTTAGCAAACTAGCTTCATTTCACTGAGAGACATTGAGGTCAAAGGACTTTTCTGTTAGGACCAAGCTGAAGCAGGTCTGTAGACCCCCTGCCTCCCTGAGGTCTCCCAATTTCCAGATTATGCTGAGCAGTGTAAGCTGATCAGTTCATGTTTTTAAGTCTCACAATCTCTTTAAGGATACCAAATCCCTTCCAGTGTGGAGCCTGTAACCACGTAAACAACTACAAAGGTTTATGAACCTGCAGTGACTCTCTCCTTTATTCCCTTAAATAACTGGTCTCAATTACTTTAAAAACAACAGGGCTGGAAAATTGACAATATGAGATGTTACATATCATTGGAAATGTATGCCAGTGTTAAAGCTGATGCACAACTTATTTTAATGATAAAACAAAGATAAAATGCTTTAACTAATTTGTTCAATGAGGAAATTTCTATGTAACATGGCTTTAAGTCACAAAAAAATGTGAATCCCCATTTCATGTAACTATTGATCTCTCCTGAACAACCAACAAGCCTCCAGCATGTTCATGTCACTTTTTTCTATCATATAATCACTCTATCAAATCAACTTGAAGGACAAATATCTTTTAAAATGGAAAAAATAACATATTCAAATGTGTTACATTGAGAAAAAGCAGTTTTATTTGAAAAGAGTTTGGCACATGTAAACAACATTGAGCATGAATAAATACTTTTAATGCATTAGTATTAACAATTTTTGAGAAAATGGTTTTGGTTCAGAAGTTAACTTGGGTGAAAAAAGATTCTCCACAAAGATGTGTTGCTTCTCAATCATTAAGGAAAAAGTCTTCTCAGACAATCATTTATTCTGAGCTTAATCAGCAACAGTAGATACAAATGTCAACAGTAAGTGAGTTCAATTGGCCTTTTTACCTCTTAAGTCAAGAGGCAAAAGTAAGTAAAAATAAAATATCTTAATTTCTCCAGCAAAGAAACATTGATAAATGAGTTCAGAAGTCGAATGCTAGGGGGCCTCATTTATTAAATTGACTGTAAAGAGATTCTCATCTTAAGAGTGGCATAAGCAGAAAACCAATTTGCACATTTTACATAAAAATTATGTTATCTTTAAGCACAATCTAGATTTGACAAAGGATTTTCTGTCCGCTTATGTAGGCCTTTTGCATTTTAGTGTATTGCATAATCTATAAGCTTTCTGTTCATTTCATAGAATGCCCAAAGCTCACTTTCTACAAATATGTCAAGGGGCAATCTTAAAGCATATCAAATCCTCACTAAAATCTGTTTTTATAGGAAATCAATGTGGGTATAAATGTGATTTTTAGTACTTGCTCAAGCAGGGTTTTTATGCAATGCATTTTCTATGAATCAACCATAAGCACACCATCAGAAATACTTTGGAAAAGAAAGTCTCAAATATATCAAAACCGAGGCCCTCCGAGTGTGCAGGACTTAGTTGTCGGTGCTGCATGTTGCCAGTTCCATTGAGGGGCACATTGCCGTGTTGCAGATCTCTCTGTAACCCGCCATCTGGGTAATTCCACTTCCTATATGTTTAGAAAAAGTTGAGAAAGTGCAAACACTGTGGTTAGGCACACGCATTCTTTGCTTGACTTTTCGTAAGTATTGCGTTTCACATAAAAAATAATAACTATACCATTAACTAGATTGTGGAGGACACAGTATGGGCTGGAATCAACGGGAGGCATCATGCTGGAGAGACCCTGTAGTGGTGTAACAGATGTAAGGAGCACCACTGTGACTCCCACAATAGAATAGCATGTGTATACAACTAAAACTAAATTCCCTTTGCAGTAACATTTTGGCGGACCTACCCTGACGGAGCAGAAGGACGGAGCCGCAGGAGGTTTAAATGTAAAGTTGAGCGCCATAGTTTTCTGGGTGCTGAGGTAAGAATGCTTGACTTCAATGTATCCAGGCATCTCCTTCACAATCTGAAAGGCAATTAACAGGCAGCGTGCATCAGAGCAAATTACCCTGCAACAGAACATTTAACTTTTTGTTAAGCTGTTCGTTATTTGAAAAAAAAAATTAGCAGAAAAACAGCAGCTGTTACATCTCTCATCAGCTTTCATTGAGCTTCCTGAAAAAAACAACAACTCAGATTGCGTGATTACCTCATAGGAGCACTGTTCCTGGCTGTCATAACACTTGTATGTGCCCCAAGCCTTCACCTGGTTTACCATAGCTGTGCGGGGTTGAGTACAGGGCACCTTGAAAACCCTTTGTAAGAAAAAAAAAAGGCAAAACATTATTTAGATGCTTTTAATTTTTTTACACAAAAGGTAAAGCATAAAAACATCTCGCCATTTGTACTCTAAGTACACAAAATCACTGGAACACCTAGCTGACGGGTCTGACAACATAAAATCAAATTCACATTATAAAGAAAATAGGTTTTTCCATGTTATCTTTGATACTTTACCATACTGCTCTGCATACGGATGGGTCTGCGGCTGAGATGAGCACAAGAAGCCATTGGATGAGCACATGAACGACAAGTAGAGCTCTGAAGCCCATCGTGGTTCTGGCTGAAGGTGGCGTTGTCTGAATCAATCAGCTTCTCTCACAGAAAACTGCGCTTGAGGTGTTTTTCAGGGCTTTTGACTCCTCCCAGCAGCAGGCTCCAAACAGTATATTTTCCAATAGATGGAGAATATAGTTTTTTTTTTACATGAACACAATCCTTTACGGGACATAAACTCATCCCCATGACTCCAGTCATTGGGCAATAGTCCTCTTTTAGCATCCCATATTTGAAATGTACCAAGGCCGAATAGCTGTATTACCAACGTAAAATGTCCTCAAACTTATTTTTTCAATCTCTAATTGTGCCCAGTTGGGATTTCCTGATGTTTGCTCTTTTTAAGGATTTCATGTTGTCGTGTGATTCCCTCTCCATTTCCATTTTTGCTCCACATCTGATTCACTTTTAGCATTCACCCACCTTCTTATGAGTGTCCCCAATAGAGCAGGCCCTTATGGGGACACTCTTTTCAGGTGTCATGGGCAGGTGTGTGAGTGTACGCCTGTGTTATTGGTCATCCATTTAAAGCTTACATAAGTAAACATTTTCCAGGTGTTGTATGTCAGTACTGGACAATGTGTGTGTGCGTGTGTGTGTGTGTGTGCGTGTGTGTGTGTGTACGTGTGTGTGTGTGTGTGTGTGCATGTGTGTGCGTGATAGTTGCAGCACATGTGTGTGTTTCAGCGACCGTGACTGCGGATCAGCAGTTAATGTGAGCGTCAGGATACACAACTCATCTTGGCCACTTGAAAATCAGAGAAGTATTGTACAGATTCCGCAGACAACAGAGGCCGTACTGTTAACTGTGACCATGACAAAAGAATGAATGACAGGCGTTAAATTATTTATGTCTCCTTTGAATGGGTGACTTGCTTGTGAGGAAGCATATGTGAGGGGAAATTTTTTGTTGAGGAGGAAACGTCAAGCTACCTCAGGACAATCGCTATAATGCCTGTTTGTTCTTTTTTTTATGGAAAGCCGAATTTGAGTCGAAAATACTTGTTTATTACAGTAAACATCTTTTCCTTAAATAGAGGGGATGTAGACAGAGTGACTAAGCTTGGAGACATATGCTGTTGTGCGTGTCTGTCAGATTCTGACTCTGGGGCGTATTCACACAATTACAGCTGGGCTCCTGCCCCAAAGGACTTTGAATGGAATGCAATAACAACAGGCAATGGGCAGATAGTTGCTGGTTAATGTTTTACCGTAATCATTGTGCAGAGGGCTGAAGTGTGTTCCAGCTGCCATTGGGCAAAAGGCACTGCGCACCCTGATCAGGTCTCCAGTCCATTATTATTTTACAGTCATTTAACTTTGGATTTAACCCTAACCAGCAATTGTTAGTTCAGGATTACATTCAAAGGTAGTAAATTAAGAATCGGCGTTCCAGTAATGTGTTCATGACAGAGTTCTCTTTAAAGTTTCTTGATTAGAGACTCTTCTTATAAACAGTCTTTGTTTTTTAGATCCAACAACTTTATGCATAAGAGAAGTGGCAGTCTAAAATTGTGTTTTCTTATTAAAGAAGACTAAAAATACAGCCCTCAAAAAGGTCCCCAGTTTATTTGAGGGGTGGTAGATATCAGGTGCTGGCTGAGGAGAAAGAGATAATTTTTCATCCTTTATGTCTGCAGAAATTATTCAAACTTTAGCCAATATAAGAACTTTTACTTCATTAAAAGACTTTTAGCTATTGTTACTTGTTTTATTCCATTCATAAGCAGCTTGAAAGGTCAAGCTGAAAAGGAAAACTTATTCGGTATCCTCATGACAATGACCATCCCTAAGTCAGACAATGAGCACAAGACCCAAAAGCCAACCACATCAATTTCAAGCTGCATTAATGGGCCTCATGACAGGTTTGATACTTGATATAAAAAAGGGCTTGCTGCCCCTTCAGCATGCATTCAGAAGCAGCTGAACAAGACAGCACACCTCACCGGTTATCTTAGTCTCGAAGAGGGGAAAAACTCCACCATTTGGCCATGAAGACGCTGCTGCTCGCCTCAGCTCTCTTTGTGGGACTCTTCAGCTCCACAGCGGCTGTTCCTCCTCCTGCTCCTTTCCCTTTCCCCGTTCCTTACCATGCATTCTGCAGAGCCCTCTGGTGAGTTGGTCTATTTGCTTTTCTTCTGCGTCGTTTTTACTTAAACGTGAGTCAGGTACTTTTTATTTTATTTTTTTGCAACGTGTATATGGAGAGAAGTGCCTACTAAGCACAAATAAATCTGATTTATATTCTGGGATTTTCTAGGCTCTTTGCAACACCTTGTGCTGAAATCAGCACCACGATTGTTCAACAGATTCAAGTGTCCGGCCCTCAATACGCGGTAAGCACCGTTGCATTTTAGCAGAAACCAGAAGTGAACATGAGTTCAATTTGCTGTCAGAGTAGGAAAACAACAACATTTAATGTGATTTATCCATTTGTTTTCCCACCACAGCTCGTGTCAGCTCTGCCTTTGTTTGTCAAAGCCAACCACACCTCCCCTGACGGCGTCCAGGCACAGAACATCACCTTCTCCTTCAGCCCCACCGTTCTAACAGGGGGCTGCCGCGTGTCCGTGAGTATCCGTTCTGCACATGTTTTCGAATATTCCTGCGTAATAATCCTTCATTTTACATCTTTTAAAAACATTGCTAAAGGCTTAATGTGATGTCCAATGTTCGTCTAATTATTTGCGCCGTACTGATTCACCAGGCCCAGTCCACCTCTCTTGGCTTCACCAGCCTCCTCGATGACGGCCTCAACTACTGCAACCTCTACAACCTGCTGTCAAGTGAGCTGACATGTCCACATCAGCCTCATTAATTCGAACTGCTATCTGTCAAATCTGAAGACTTAAATATGCACTGATCCGCTTTCTCTCAATGCTTTCGTTTTCCAGACAGTGGACTCATCTCGGCTCCAGGCTTCATGGAGATGACCAATGAGTGGGCCTGCCTGGGATATGGCCTGGCCAAATGCAAAGCTTAACAACCTTTCAAGGTTGACATGTAATCGACTTGTTTTCTCGCAGAATTTACTGGTTGCATTTGAATTATAGTTATTAATTACAGAATGTATTCCCACCTGTACTGAGAAAATATCTAATAAAAGAGTTGCAGTTGTATCATCCTGTCTCGGTGTGTGTGGTTTTACTGTCACTGACCTCAGATCTTAGTAGTATGTATGGTTGAAATTTATCAACACCCTTGAATTTCATGCAAATAATTCAAAATGTCTTAAAAAATGGTGCACTTGCTCCAATACTACCTCATAAAAGTGCACTAAACGCAACAAACAGTAGCAATAGCTTTTTCTTACTTAAGTTTGCTAGTTTAAATTTTTAGTTTATTTTTAATTGATTGTTCTATCTGTGAACAATCAATTAAAAGGCTGTGGCATCACTGCCTGCCTCTACAAACAGAAAAAAGCTGTAATGGCTGCATTCTGCAGATAAAGAACAGGCTGCTCACAAGTGCTTTACTAAACCTTAGCGAATATCTCAGATAACTTCATATTTTGCTAACTTTGTTTTTTTATCACTATGAAACTATGAAACTGTTCCTTTTACTCAGGAATTGCCAAGATGCTCATTTTTACTCAGTTCCCAAGGGAGGAATCTATTTTCCACCATTGTCAATATTCGCGTCTATGCCATCATTGCTTGTTTTTTCTCCATATAAAGACTTTTTCTTTGTTTGCGGATCTACTGACTAACTCCACGTCTTCTTTTACTATATCAAACCCGCTTAGTTCTACACAGACTTCTCAGAGGTGATCAGTGGTCATCATTTGGTCATTCAACCCTGGCTGAACAAAGCACTTTTTGTAGTAGTTCCATTTGTTTCAGAATGCTCTGTTCTTAGTTGCGGACTTTTCTATGCAGGATTGAGACTCCTCCCGGTGTAATTGCTGAATTTTACAGGTGAATTTTTTTGAGATACGATGTGTTATCCACAGTCAAAAATGTGGCAGATTCTTCCGAAAAGAAAAAAAGCACAATGACTGTATTTTGTATTTAGTATTTCCTTGAATTTATTTTCCTCACTTGTTTCTTGGTCTACAAGCCTGTGTTTTACTGTGTCCCAGTGTCACAGTGTTCACATCTGATGGCCATGTGTCATTCAGCATTATTAAACTGGCCACAGTTTTAAACCCAGCTGACATTTACCTACGATTTCTAACCATGGATTTGTAAGAACAGTTATGTTCTTCAGATTTTTAAAAAGGAATGACGGGTTTGTTTGTTTGTTTCACCAGATGATAAAATGCAAGGAGGCTGTCTCCTTAATTTTCAAGGGAAACATTGAACTGTAAGGAGATAGTTGTTATTGTGTTTTTGGTTTAGGTCATTTTTGGTGTGCTGTGTCATTAGATAAAGGATGGAAGCAAATAATGAATTATTAAATAACAAGACTAAATTACATGGTGGGATTCACAATATCTATTTATGCCATTCACAGGACATTTGCCATGTGAGACCATATTGTTAGAGGTGGACACATAAATACTAAATGATCCAACCTTTGTTGAGAATGTGTGTTCTTTATAATGCAGTTCAGGCAGCAAAAAAATCTATATTTATCAAGTGGTTAATGCTAATTGTGGATCACATCCATTTTTGGACAAACAAAGAGTTTCAGAAAAGCAATGAAGAGACGTCCCTTTGCTAACGGTTAAAGAAGTGCTCAAACTACAACAATCAAACGATCAGTGCTTGGGATATTTTTTTTATCTTAATCAGGTGTTCACAGAGGAGTTGACACATTTTGAATTGTTTCTCTTTTTTTAAGTCTAATTTATAATGACTAGTGCTCTCCAATTGTAGAAATAAACCCAGCCTCAAAGCAATGCATTTGTGCTGTCAATTTTATTATCACATTGTATTATTGATGACAAAACACCAGGTCACTACTTTGCCTCAATACAATGATTATTTTTAATAATTAGATCACACTAGGTTTTTAGAATTAATCAATTGTTTTGTGACCTGGAATCTCTTAAAGCTCTGGACCCCACAATGTTTCCATGAAATGTGATTTTCTTTTCTGAATTCTAAGTTAAAGTCAAAGGCTTGGTTTACATCATCATGCTGCCCTCTGCTGGAACCACCACCCTGAAACTGACCACATTTTTTAAACAAATTGAAGGGTGTTATTTTTTTCTTTGATTGAAATCTGTCTAATACCTTCGCTATTCCCAAAGTTATGCTGTGCTCTTTGCAATCCTGATCTCACATTTCCAAACTTTGTACTGAAGGTTATGCTCAGTTTAGATACAAAGACTAAAAAATTGATCAAATCTGAGTTAAAGGCACAGACATTATTATGACTTTTGTGTGAGAATCTCTAAATACATATAACGTATTTTAAAAGATGACATTGAATTACACAGTAGAATATAAGTTATGTCACTAATTGTAACTTGCTGATTATTCATTTCACAGTTAAAGCTGCAGGTAAAATTAAAGCATGTCAAAATAGACATTTGTATTCAAACAATAGAGCATAGATCCAGATGCCAATTACAAATGATCCCTCTTTTTTGCTCTTCAGGGGTTAATCCCTTAATGTATTGGACCCGTTTTTGCTCTTATGCCTGAACACACTTTCCCTCTTTGCATATAAGAGATTATATTTGATCCCTAATGTCACATTATGCTTTTATGACTTCCGTTAGTGAAGATTTATGGCCCTCTGTCTTAGATCAAAGAATTTTTATTATTTTATTAATTTATTGCTTTATTACAGGTCTCTGTCCTAGATCAAAGAAGATGTAAGTAATTAGGTCTGTTTTTATTCTTTTATTGTTTTATTACCTCTTTTATCTTTCTTATAAGAGGTTTTTCATTGTTTTATCTGTTTTTTATCTTTCTTATAAGAGGGTTTTTTCTTTTCATTGATTTTATTACCTGTGAGTGGATACAGAGAAGCGTTCCCGGGGATGGAGACTTGAAGGGGGCGTGAAAAGAGAGTTCAAACTTTTAACACCTCAGTTCAAGTAACCTTTTCAAGTATCAAAAGAGGTGACATTTCCTATGCTAAATACCATATCTTCAGGTCTGAGGATCAAAATTGTAATTTGTATGTGTGTGTGTGTGTGTGTGTGTGTGTGTGTGTGTGTGTGTGTGTGTGTGTGTGTGTGTGTGTGTGCGTGTGTGTGTGGCACCCCCTGTAGCTTGATGTCTCCGGCCAGACTGGATACAGAGAAGCTTTCCCCGGGGATGGAGACTTGAAGGGGGCATGAAAAGAGAGTTCAACCTTTAACACCTCTTTTCAACTATCAATGATCAGACAATCCTATGCTAAATACCTTAGTGTGTGTGTGTGTGTGTGTGTGTGTGTGTGTGTGTGTGTGTGAGAGCATACCACCCCCTGTAGCTAGATGTCTCCGTTCAGACTGGGTACAGAGAAGCTTTCCCGGGATGGAGACTTGAAGGGGAGCATGAAAAAAAAAGACTTCAAACTTTAACTACTCAGTTCAGGTAACCTTTTCAAGTATCAGAAGAGGTGAGTGTGAGCATAGCATCCTCTGTAGCTACATATCTCCAAGCAGACTGAATATACGAAAAACTTTCTCAGGTAATTCAGAAGCCATATGCTCCACTTAACCCTAGTAGTGTGGGGGTTACGATTGCAGAGAGAGAGACTTCAGACTTTTAACACCTCATTTCAACAATCAAAAGAGCTGACCTTTCCTATGCTAAATACCTTATCTTGAGTGTCTGGAGTTGTAAAAAAAAAAAAAAAAAAAAAAAAAAAAAAGGTAAAAAAAAAAGTGAGAAAAAAAAAAAAAAGAGAAAAGACGGTAGCATGAACAGCCAATGAAGTGGGGTGAGACCGGTTCCTCTAGCCTATTAAAACTTTTTCAGACTCCATTTGAAAGACTGAAAGCCCGGCATCTAAAAAAACAAGAAGAATGTCTAACCTTCAGAACAGAATTGTCCGAGCACTGGTCCACAACTCTGCCACGAGGGATGAGGAATACGATTCAATATTTGCGAGTAAGTTACCCATTTACAATCATTACACTCAGCGCTATAATTCAATGGGGTTAGATATACATCTATTTATTCTTCTTTTATTCTTCATTTTCTTAGATCCAACGGCTGATGAATTAGATGACTTTTTTCTGACGCAATCTGAATTCGGTAATGATCTAATTTTTACCTCGGCATCCTTTATTTTATTTAATTATATTTATTTATTTATCTATTTATTTTTATTCTATTTTACTTCCTTTAACTATCTTCTTTTATTTTATTTTTATTTTTCAAAACAAGATTTAATCAGCGCAACCGAGAGGGAATTCTCCCGGGCTAACCCCAGCGTGTTCCATGGCGAATTGGATATTGAAGAGTGTGAAGAAAACCCCAGAGCTGGAGTTAGAAGAAGACTGAGCAATCCTCAGACATATACTGAAAACCGTCCTGTTGCCGCGGGGCGTGATTATAATAATAATAATAATAACGCCGCGTTGGAGGAGTTGAGCCAGCTGTGCACGCCTCCGCTCATAGCCTTCTCGCCTCGACCTCCGGCCCCACACGTGGAAGACCCGCCCGAGGTCTTGGAAGCAAGAGCGGGCTCATCGCCTCCGTACGTGGATTCTTCACCAAGGGTTTCCCCGGTTTCAAGCCCCGGGACTCCGCCCGAGGTCTTGGAAGCAAGAGCGGGCTCATCGCCTCCGCATGGGGATTCTTCACCAAGGGTTTCCCCAGTTTCAAGCCCCGGGACACGGGTCGAGGTTTTGGGAGCTGGTAGGGCACCTCCGGCACCGCCCCCGGTCGCCATAAGACCTGCTTTCGACGCTCGTGGTGAGTTGAAAATAACTCTTTGTTGGCTTGACAAATTGTGTTCATTCATTTAACTTTATTTTATTTATTTATTTTTTATCGCGTGGTGAGTTGAAAATAACTGTTTCTAGGCATGACTAAGTGTGTTCATTCATTGAACTTTATTTTATTTATTTATTTATTTTATTTTTCGCGTGGTGAGTTGAAAATAACTGTTTGTTAGCCGTTCCTGCTCCGCTCCCCGATCGTAGTCAGGAAACACAGGGGAGAGTTTCCTCCAGGGGCGAAGTTAGCTTTAACTTCGGGGCTAAACCCCCTTTCACTTCCTTCGCAGTAGTAGCGAACAACTGAGACGGAGGCTCCACTTATACTCGGGGAGTGATAGCCTTTTATTTGCCTACAATTGTACATTCAGTGTTTACCTCTATTACAACTCTCTTGTTAAACTCGCCATCTCTCATCGCAGTAGTACGGTCTCCCTTAGCGCTCTCTCTCTCTCTCTCTCTCTCCGCTCTACCTCTCGCACACACCCGTTACGTCTGCACATGCGCACTGCTCCCTTAAAGGAGCCACGCATGTTTCTTAGCTTGACTAAACGTGTTCATTCATTTAACTTTTATTTATTTATTTTATCGCATGGTTTGTTTAAAATAATTGTTTCTTAACATGACTAAGCGTGTTCATTTATTTAACTTTTATTATTTTTAAAAAAAAAGGTTAATTTGTTATTTACAGTGAGCATTAGGCGTGCACGTCGTGAAATCAGAAGATTGGTGTCCAGAGTGGAGGGACTTGAACATCATATTTCAGGTACAACTTGCTGTTTTACTCAAGTATTCCCCATCTGTATTTATTTATTTTTTTATTTTTTTTTAATTTTATTTTTTATTCTTATTTTTATTTTCTTTTAAATTTATTTAAATGTATTTATTTATTTATTTATTTATTTTTTTAATTTATTTTATTTTATTTTTTGTTCTCAGCTACCTCTATCCAAACGAGATCCAACATCGAGAGGTTACAGTCCAGAGTTCAGGAAATTGAGGCAGTTGTTTCAGGTAAATCCAGCTGTTTTTTTTCTTTTTGTTTTGTTTGTTTGTTTGTTTTTTTTTTTTTGTTTGTTTTTTTGTTTTTTGTTTTTTCAAGTAATTCACATCTACAGATTTAATTGCTATTGTTATTATTTTTTTTTTAATCCATACATACATTGCCTGTTTGTTTTATTTTATATTCTGCGTTGTTGCTGTAGAGAGTACCAGGAGATCAAGAAACGAAGCCGCGTTGAGGACCTGCCAGACACTGCTTCGGACTCTATCAAGTGAAATAGCGGGGTTATAACAAGTAAACACTGTGCTATGGATAACCATCAGAGGGACAATGTATTGAATGAATTGATTAAAGCAGTGAGTGATCTCGAGAATATCCCGCAAAATGTTCATATATCAGACTACTTCAGACCGCTTCAAAATGCTCTGCAAAACATACACATGCTTATAATTAATTCAGAATCTGAAGGAGAGGAATTAGATGAGGATTCAACGGGTTTTGGGTTAATTTCATTAGAACATTCACTCCAAAGGTTAAACAACGGTACGTCTGCTTCACCCCGTGGTGGCCGTGCTTCAGACAGCCCGCAACATGGTGGCGGTAATATGAACCAGGAGCATGGAGAGAGAGTTGAGCAGAGCCAACCAGGCTCCGCCGCATCAGCCACGCCCCCTCCTCCTCCCCCTTCTGAGACTAGCGGCCCCCAGTTCCCCGCCCACAGCACCTCTGATCATGAACCACCCAGACAGCGTGAAAATTTTAACGTGACAGAGATAAGGCGTCCTTTTGTTGTTACTCCCCCCACCCCCGGCAACGTGCCCGACCTAGCTTTATTTTACGCAAGTGTGATGCATATGCTTATGGAGCTGGCTGACGCTGCGCGAGGATTGGCCGGTCGCGGTGACGTTGTACAGTTGGAATTAGCAGGAGGGGGGTTCTCGCACCACGTGATCATTCCTGTCGGGGATGAAAATGATGACAGCTTTCTACCGGCGTTTACGGATTTTTTGGATGATGTTGTACAGTCCAACGCAGAGCTTCCAGAAAATAACAATCTGGAGCTTATTCTCCAGGTTGTGAGGAATCCCTCTGGAGGGGTGAAACGCAGGTTGGAGAAAACGTTGGACTGTGAGTTGATTAATAAAAAGAAACGTCATTTGTATCTTGTGAACAATGCAGAAAACCAGTTATGCTTTTCCATCAGTCTGGCCCATGTCAATAATCCTTGTTTAACAGACAGTGAAGCCGCAGTCCAGGGAGAGCAGTGGCAACTCATGGCAGGTTTGACTGTAGATACCCCCGTTAATTTCTGTGATATCAATAAATTTGAGAGGATAGTGAAGAGGAAGATTGTTGTGTTTTATAGAAAGGGCGAGAACAATTTACTGTGTAAATTTGAGACAGACTTCCCTGACCGTTCAAACCCCCTCTTCTTATTCCTGATGGGCAACCATTACTACGGAATAAGGAATCTCACTGGCTTTACTGGGGCAAAATACACATGTAGTTATTGTTACATCGGTTACGATCGGCCCGAAAGCCACAGCTGTGAAGGCTTCTGCCCCATTTGTCACGACCCCGGATGTCATCTCAGGCCTTTAAGATCTGTGCAGTGCGCGGAGTGCAATCGGATTTGTCATGATTCGATTTGTTTTGATAAACACAGAGAGCCCCGCCTCAGACCCCGGTTGGAGAAGTTTAGAAGTCATTGCGAAACCAGTAAATTCTGCCTGATCTGTAAAAGACTTTATCATGTCCCCGGCTCTCGAGAACATTTCATTCACGAATGCTCGGTAAAATGCAGAGTTTGCGGTGAGAAATTACCTCGTGATGTTGATGTGACGCTAAACGAGCATCAATGCTTCATTCAACCCTGCCTCACCGATGAGGGTTTAGACGATAAACTGGTTTTTTACGATTTTGAATCGTTCAGCAATCAGAGCGGCGTGCACGTTCCTTTCCTGGTATGCACTAAAACGTTAAAAGGGGAAGTTTGGTACTCTTATGGGTTGGATTGTGTTAAACAGTTTCTGCTTCACTTCAGAAGACCCGCATACAGAGGTTACACATTCATTGCTCATAATGCACGTGGGTATGATAGTTATCTAATCCTGAGTGTCGCGGTCAAGATGGGTATTACACCGTCTCTCATTACGCAGGGGAGTAAAATCCTCTGTTTCACAGACGCCGATTTCAATCTGAAATTCATAGACAGTCTGTCATTTCTAACCATGAAACTCAGCGCCATGCCAAAAGCCTTAGGTTTCGATGATCAGAGTAAAGGATTTTTTCCTCACTTATTTTCTTCACAGGCGAATCTGAACTATTCAGGAGCCTACCCCCCACCCTCTTGTTACGCTGCGGAGCTCATGACCCCTGCTGAGCGTCTGCGGTTTGACGTGTGGTACAATGAAGCGAGCAAAGGTTCATTCGACTTTCAGAAAGAAGCTCTTCATTATTGTAAGAATGATGTCGAGATTCTTTACAAGGGTTGTGTGAAGTTCAGAGAGGAGTTTTTTAAGGAGACAAACGTGAATCCTTTTAAATGTATTACAATCGCCTCTGCATGCATGAAGGTTTTCACCTCCAATTTCCTCCCTGCAAAGAGTTTAGCCATCCCGTCAGCAGTCGATTACAGGCGTCAGTGTAAGACATTTTCCAGCGCCTCCATTCACTGGCTGGAATGGGAAGCGCGGAATAGGGGTGTTAACATCCAGCATGCGTTAAACAGGGGGGAGCAGAGAATAGGGCCATATTTTTTGGATGGGTACGCAGAGATAAAAGGTATTAAAACTGCTTTCGAGTTTTATGGGTGTCTGTACCACGGGTGCCCCCGCTGCTTCATGCCTAATCACACTTGTCCCCTGCGGGGCGTTTCGTTTGAAGCGCTGCATACTGCCACACTTGAGAGAGAGAGGGCGCTGCAGTTTGTGTACGGCCTTGATCTGCAGATCATGTGGGAGCATGATTGGCTGGAGATGAAATCGACACACTCTGGTGTGATCAACTTCCTCCAGAGCTTCAGCACCCCAACCCCCCTCTGCCCGCGAGAAGCTTTGTATGGGGGGCGGACCTGTCCACTACGCATGCGTTACACGGCGGGGGATTGTGAAACCGTTCATTACGTGGATTTCACCAGTCTTTATCCGTACGTGAACTGTAGCTTCCCCTACCCCCTGGGTCACCCTAAAATAATCTACAAAGATTTTGACGACCCTCGCAATTATTACGGGTTCATCAGAGCCACCGTGTACCCTCCAAGGGGCCTGTATTTCCCCGTTCTGCCTCACAAGACATCTGCGGGGAAACTGGTTTTCACTCTGTGCCGCGCATGCGCGGAAATCAACAATCAGGAAGGTCCCTGTTCGCACTCTGACCAAGAGAGGGCGCTGACTGGTGTTTGGGTTACTACAGAATTTTCAAAAGCTTTAAATATGGGTTATAGGACTGCAAAAATCACTGAAGTCTGGCATTTTGAGAAACAGAGCAGCACAATCTTCAAAGATTATATCCACACTTTCCTAAAGGGTAAGCAGGAGGCTTCAGGCTACCCGGCTGATGCGGCGGATGAGGAGAGCAGGTTGAAGTATATAGAGGACTACAGGGTTAATCAAGGCATCCGGTTGAATCCAGACAAGATCGAGGTGAATCCGGCTAAAAGACAGGTGGCGAAACTGTGTTTGAACAGCTTTTGGGGGAAATTTGCGCAAAGAAAAGACCTGCCTCAGACCACCATTGTGAGTAAACCCGAGGAATTTTTCAACTTTATGTTCTCAGGTAAATACACACTCAGCTACTTTCATTTCCTGACAGATGAAACGTGTATGATTCAATGGAAATACAACAGGCGTTGCATTTACCCACCCAACAAGGTGAATAATGTGTTTATTGCCGCATTCACTACCGCATATGCTCGTTTAAAATTGTACAGCTGTCTCGAGCGCGTGCAGGAAAAAGTCCTGTACATAGACACCGATAGTCTTATCTATGTGGTAAAAGAGGGGGATGCACCCCTTGAACTGGGTAATTATCTGGGGGATTTGACTGATGAGCTTGCAGGAGATACAATTAAAGAGTTTGTGGCAGCAGGACCCAAGAGCTATGCATACCAGACCAGAGACCGGAAGAAGGTGGTGATGCGCGTTAAAGGTATCACTCAAACTCATGAGTCTAGCCAAAGGGTGAACTTTGACAGTGTTAAAGAACTGGTTGAAAATTATCTGCAGGGGTCTAGAGGAGATGTGTTATCAGCGCCTCAACGTACCATTAGGAGAGATAAGAAAGGCTTTCAGCTTCAAAATGCAACATTCCAGAAAAAGTTCCGCGTGGTGTATGACAAGAGAAGGCTCTTTGCAGACGGGTCAACTCTGCCTTTTGGTTACTAAGGAAGGGGTGTTATCGTTGATAAAAATGTCACTGTCCCGTGAAATGCAGGAGATTGAATTTGATCCGCGATTCAAAACTCCTTTTTCATGTATGGTCGTGGGACCCAGCGGGTGTGGAAAAAGTTTCTTTGTAAAAAGTGTTTTGCAAAATTGTGACCATGTCATGGATTATGTGCCTGAAAATATTGTATGGATTTATACTTCTTTTCAACCCTTGTATGCCGAGTTGCAGAAAATGAATAAAAATATTAAATTTGTTGAGGGGTTACCTCATTCTTTTGATGATGAAAATCTGTTTCCCCCCGATCAGAATCATTTAGTTATACTGGACGACGTCATTTTCCAAGCTTCGGAGCATCCTGATGTGGTTAAGATTTTTACGCAGTACAGACATCATAGAAATATGAGCGTGATGATGCTAACTCAGAACGTATTTCATCAGGGCAAGTACAGTCGCACCATCAGTCTAAACTGTAATTATATGGTGCTATTTAAGAACCCCAGAGATAAACTGCAGCTGAACATACTAGCCCGCCAGATATTCCCGTCGGAAAAACAATTCTTCACGGAAAGTTTTGAAGATGCAACCAGAGAGCCTCACGGGTATTTATTAGTCGATTTGACTCCAACTTGTCCAGATCCTTACAGACTGAGAACGGGGGTGCTCCCCAAACAGTGGCCGGCTGTGTACGTACCTAAAACAAACTAATTCATCATGTCGGCGCGCATAAAAAGAAACGCTCCTTTATTCCGAGCTCTTTTTCATGCAACCCCACAGAAACGTAAAGACATTCTCGCTCACTGCTCACCAGACTTTCTTAAAGCTCTGTGTGAGGTAGCTCTGAATATCTTAAAAGGCAACGTTAAACTATCTCCTTCTCAGCATAAAAAATTGGAAAAGCAGAAAAAGATCATCAGATTGCTGGCTGATCAGAGAGCCGGGTTAAAACGGAAACAGTTAGCTTTGAAAACCCAGGGAGGCGGTTTTATTCTCCCTCTGTTGGGAGTTGTGGCACCCTTAATCGGTGAGTTGGTGGGAGGTCTTATCAGGAGGAAGTGAGAAAAAAAAAAAAAAAAAAATGTCACTTAGGACAGCGCAAAAGATGTTTCTCATACCGCCTCATCAGTTCAAACGTTTAACCCAACCTGAAGCTTCCATCAGACAAACGGCCGAAGATGATCTAGATTCGAAAATGAGGGATATACTGAACGACCCCGGGTTGAGTTCTCATGAAAAAATTCAGAAATACAATGGGCTTCTGCAAAGGTATCTAACTTTAGTTAAACAAGGACGGATGGAGGAGCCGAGGTTAACTGTGACTTTGCAATCTAATCGAATGCCTGAAGGTGAGGCTGCTGAGGTGACGGGCCCCCCTCCTCCTCCTCCTCCCCCTGTTCTTCCACCTGTTGCATCACCTCATACGGAAAAACCGGCGATGGAAATCATTTCGACCCTTCCTAACAGAGATCGCAAAAATGCTGAATACATACTGACAAAGTTAGCCCAGAATGACGGGGGGTGGACGTCCAGAGGCGAATTTGTTTTTCGCGATCGCGTGGTTAAAGGCTCTCATTTGCTTGATTTGTTGAAAAATCTATTACTCCCGTTTAAGAGGAAAGCATATTCAGAGGACCCTACAGGGTGGACTTACTTCCTGACCAGTCTGCATGAGATAAACATTCCTGTTTCATCCATCAACAACCCGACTGCTCGTGAGCAATACAAACGCCTGAGGGAAACGGACGTCTTGGAGCAGAACCGTGATAAACCGTTCACTAAACGGAAAAGGAAAATTGTGCTGTCACCTAAATTCAGCGGATTAGAGACTGAACGAGGTATTGAACCGGCTCCAAACAACGAAAGGATCACACGTAAAAGAGTCAAAAACCCCCGTTGGTTAAGATTTTCACCCTAATGTATTTGAAATAAAAAACTGGATAAAAAGATTTCATAATAAAAGATACTTTTATTGTTTAAACTTATTCATGCGTACAGCGTTTTTCTTTTAACACGGTAACAGTTTGTAACAATCTTTAAACATTTTCAAAGAACACGTTCCATGGTTAAATGAGCAGGAGACCTGCTTTTTAATACATCGTTGATATTTTTTAACAAAATCAGATACCAATACATCATTTTTATTTTCATCATTATCATACGTAGCCAATATTTGATGCATGGAAAGCCCGCAGGCTCTATGACAGAGATAATAAACACAATGATGACCGCATACTGTGGATAATGTGCTCTGCAGCTGACGGTTATGATACAATATTTTGGAGGATCTCTCTCTCAAAAATGACACGATGCTTGAAGGATAGAAATCAAAATCCGGAGGGAATCCATAAGAGTCGAAAAATGTGGCTTGATCATTCTCATCCAAAGTCAGAGCTAGCCAGTGTTCTCCGGGCATATATGAAGGGTGAGTGTTAACGATAAAATAAGCAGGCCCGCTGTAATTGCGTTTGAGTAAGGGTAGCTGATCGCTAGCCCACACACCGTGGAATAAATCCCCCAGCAGGTGGTGCATGACACTCTCCAACTGATGGTTATTCATGTTTTCTTCAGTAAAAGTCCACCAACACTTGTCTTTTCGAGTCTATTTCCAGAATTGAATCGTGGCAGGAGTAAACGATGAGGGTTGTGGTATGAGGCAACGGTGCCCTGAATCTCATTTCGAGCCTCAAATTCCCACTAGTAACGGGGGAAAGAGCGTCAGCATCTTCGGAAGGATTCAGGTTAAATACAAACAGTGAATACCCGCTGTTAAACTCCTCACGAGTGATGCTCAGCGGAAGGTCCTTCAAATGACGCCCCGTCGCTGTAAACATGTTGTAATATTCCCTGACTGAAACAGCGTTGTTGAATTGAGGTTGGAACGCTTTAGCTGGAACTTGCCTGCCGTCTTTACAGAGGGCCAAATATTCCACATCCATATGTTTAAAATTGAAAGGTGACAGATTCCTACGCCCCGTGAAGGCCTCATGATGCACCATGCCTAAAACTATATATTTCGGCATAGTACCCAAAAAGAGATTCTCTTGAGTACATATCCTGGAATTTTCAGGGATGGAATATGTTTTAACATTTACGCGTGATAAGGGGTAAAGGGCGTTTCCTCTCATCAGAGCTGATGCATGCCCGAGTCTTATCCCCGGTGCTACTGTTACTTTTTTTACAAACAGGGAAGCTCCCAGCAATTTCAGTCGAAAAGTCGAATCGTGGGCGCCCATCAAAATAAAAGCGTCGCTGGCTCTGGTTAGTTTAACCCTCATGTCCACAGAATTCAAGAGGAGCCTTTCGCAGAAAAAAATATCCCCATGAAGCGGTCCCATAAGATGTATTTCCCTCGAGTTGGCTGTGAAACTCGCCCTTTTATTCAGCCCTCTGTTTGGGCCATTTACCACTGCTACGGAATCTAGAGCTCCAGCCGTGTCTTTGTAAAAGAGACCTGCGCTGAATTGACTCTTTAATGTGTCTTCTGAATAGTTGAGCAAAGTTTCAATCATAGCTCTATAAGGATGAGTAGCGCTGGACTGGGAAATTAATCTGTCCCCCAGCATGACATCGCATTGGCTAAACATTGTATTTAACGGATAGTTGATCAGTCCCACAGGTGCATCATTTGGTAGGTCACCCCCGTCGGGGGCGGTGATTTTCAGACGAATGTGCAGCAATGTATCATTTAAATCTAAATATTTCTCGCCGTCTCCAGGGATGAAAAATTCTATCGGTCCCGTGTCTGTGAGAGCTGATACAGGCATTATCTCTGTGTACATCTTATCTTCAATAGACAATTGCGTCATCGGAGCAGAAAAAAGGTCCAACTCAGCTAACGTGCATTCTGGTGATTTCTGATGTAAAAGAGCCATGATTAATGATAGGTAGGAAAAAGCAAACGAAACAAAAATTCTTCCCGCACCGCCTGATTTATAATTCAGTTAAATATATCCTTGCTCCCCGCAGACTTCCTCCCTCTTGCTTTGCTTTTCTTGACTGACTTTTTCTTTTTGTTATGCGTGAGTATTTGTGATCGCCACACACGCTCCCCGGGGGGTCTCTTTCTGGCTCTTCTTGACAGAACCATAACTCCTGATCCGTCCTGGTTCTGCACCCCCTCATGTGATCCGGCTATTTTAGCCATGGCTTTACCTATGACGTCCGTGGCAATGTTTGAGGCAGCCTTTTTCAGATGAGGCTTTGCAATAGCAAAACCCCTTTTAACTAAAGGTGAAACGAAACGAAATAATCTCGAGAATATGGATCCTATCCCACGACCATACATCACTGGGGCACCGTAGAAACCGGGGAGAGTGCCCCCCACCTGACTCTGGTAGTAGTGGACAAAACGGTGTGGGTCGTCTCTCAGATTTACGTAAACCATGTTTTTTTTTTTTCTTTTCTTTTCTTTTTTTTTTTTTCCTTGGTTATAGTTACTATTTTCTCACGCTTCAGCACACCACAGAGTTGTTGTCATGAATGGATGCACAGCTCTGAGTGACCCCATATGCATTCATCCCTCGTTTTTTATACGCACTGTTTAATTTATTTAATCTCAACAGTGATCATTTCACCGGTCTGAAATGCAGTTTCAACATGCATTTTCCATATGAGAATTTCACCGGGACATTCCCGTCCGTTTTAATTTCTACTTGTATATTTTCGATGTGTTTCTTTGCAACGGGAAGGTAGTACGGTTTGTGGTAAGTCTGTGTGATAATATCTCCGAATCCACCCTCTATTTTGACAGCGCGCAAGAGAGGAGCGTAAGCGTCCCCCACTATCTGAGGAGCGACAACATCGCTGTAACAGTAGAGATGGTAGAATCCTGCTTTAAAATCCATGGGATGGGGGGCATGCCAGTGATCAAATTTCACCCATTCTCCGGGGTTAACACCCAGCATGTAGGCCAGAGGGGCGTAAAAACGGAGATGATATTGACCCCCGGCCTGAAAGTTGATGATGTTTGCGAGCCAGTTAACCTGGAAATAGATATCCGAATCTATCTTTCTCAGATGGGTTTCAAGTTCCGCTTTAAGTTGAGCTATATGAAGGTAGTATCCTTTTCCAATCTGTTTTCTATGGACTTTTTCCTCCTCTGCTTTCCGCCATTCAAAGTAGGCTGACTCTGGCGGGAGATTATACCATGTGTGGGGGTAGGAAAACTCTGTCAGGGCTACTTCCCACTGTCCTTCTAAATTAATATGTCTTGCTAAATCCACACGGAAACTCGATATAGTGTTATCCTTAAAAACGTTGAGACTGGCATTGGAGGGCAGTGTGAGGTAAAAACCCCCTCTTTCAGAGCAGCGTTCCATCACGAACTGGCTTGTCCGGGGGAGGAGCGCGCTCTTTTTAAACATCCATTAGAGCGGCTTCTCTTACCCAGCTATTGAATTTCTCAGGCCAATTTTTCCAACGTACCAAAACCTGTTTAACCCCTCTGACTGTGCGCTTTTTTAATATCTCACCCACTTGATACATCTTGTCTTTTGACATTTTTACTTTTTGAAGCTCCTCCGAGTAAAAAGCGCCTTGAAGAGTCTCTCCATCCATATCTTTGAGTTTGAATACAGGGGGCGATCGTTTTATCACCTCCGCCACTGTAAATGTCTCATCCGTAAAACTCTGTTCATATTTCTTGTCAAACACCCCACGCACCTTGGAGATTCTAACGAGGTCGCCTTGCTTAAACCCTGTCTTGATTTCAGCGCGTGGTTTGGAACCCACCCCGTAAAGATTCTTAAACACTTCAAAAGTGTTGTCAGCGGTGACCTGCATAGGCGTCATTTTAATGCTTGAATGATAACTGTTATTGTAGCTTTTCAGTAAATCCTGAAGGATGTCTATGTATCTACGAGTGTTATTAGCGGTGAAATATCTCCACATTCTCGATTTTAATGTTCGGTTAAACCTCTCAACCACCGAGGCTTTTATTTCACTAGCCGTGGAAAAGTGTGTAATACCGTTTTTATCCATCAGATTCTTAAATATTTTGTTGAAAAATTCTTTACCGTCATCGGTTTGAAGTTTCTTTGGAATCTGACTCTCTTTTAAAACAGATTCAAATGTTTTTGCCACCTCAGCAGCAGTCTTCCTTTTTAAAACCTTAGCATAGGCTCTTTTAGAGAATATGTCGATAACGGTTAATAAATAATTATAACCATCATTTTCTCCGGACAAGGCTTGCATGTCACATAGGTCTGCTTGGAACTGTTTCAGCGGGCCAGAGACAAATACTCTATTTCTCGGAAATGTTATCCTGGCCGGTTTATGCAGAGTATACGCATCTTGTTCCGATAAAAAATCTTTTACCTTCTCAATCGCTAGTCTTTTACCCGTGTCATTTTTGACACCTCGTCTCAACCTCTCAACTCCCCCGAAACTGCCGGGGTGAGCAGGAGAGTAAAACGCTTTCCGTAAATTCTCATCAGCCATGGTTACCTTCACACTTCTGATCAATGAATGGAAAGGAGGCTTGCATTCGGGTTTTATCTGTTTTTTATTAACACATATAGTTAAGAAAGAAAAAAAAAAAATGCACTCATTTGAAAAAATAAGAAAACATTCACTGACGGTATTTAAAACATACAACTGTATATTGAGAAAAAGAAAATATAATTATATAGACCCCTGCCAGTACTCCTTAACAAGCTCCAGCTGACGTAGCACTTCTTCGTCTCTGCCGACCAGTTGCTCATACATATCCTGAATGGGCTGATTTATCTGTTTGGTCAGGGTTAATTCGTAGAGATAAGCCTCGGCTACAGCTCTTACACGGGTGCTGTCCTGCTTAATGTGACGGGCGGTTAAAAGCGTCTGAATTGACCCGATGAAATGCGGGTTATACAATTTCTCCATAACCATATGGTAATTACAATCAAAAAAGTCATCCTCTAAAACATCTTTACACTGATGCTGAGTTAAACTCGGATGATCGACAGAACAACCATAACATGACTCTTCAAGGTATATGTTAATCGCTGTGTTAAGGAGATGGAGCACTGCGGTTTTAACCGCCTTGACGAATCCGAAATGGATCCACCCATCGAATTCGTCCTCGCCTGCCCCCCGTCCTTGACTTGCTGGGAGCTGTGAATCCTCCACCTGGTCCGCCGGTTGGGAGAGGGGAGGAGGGGTGGAGAGGATTTGTGTGTCATCCTCATAGTCATCCAAGTCAATTATTTCCACAGGCTGGGGAATGGGGGGTGGGTTCAAAGTGGCAGGGTTTTCCTCGGCTTCTAGATCAATAATTTCCACAGGCTGGGGAACGGGAAGAGGGATTTCTACGCAATCCTCATCCTCCTCCTCCAGGTTAATGACCTCCGGCTGCGAAGCTGCAGGGGGACTCGGGTCGGTGAGGTTCGGCATGCCATCCTCCTCCTCCTCATCAGGAACCCGATTAACGGTTTCCACCGGGCGGGAAGGTCGGACTATACAGCTTGGGAGTCGCGCTGCTTCCTTGTCGTACAGGACGAACAAAGTTGGCCCGCGCTTTTTCGATGGGCTGAGTTTACACTCACCAAGACGCCGCTTCAGGATCCTTGTGAGGGGGCTCTCGCTACCGCTCCCGCTCTCGGAGGATGAAGGGTCAGAAGAAAGTAGCGGTGAAGGAGGATGGTAAAGCCCTCTTTGGAAGTAGCTGAAGCAGTCCGGGGATGTCGATGCAGATGAAGGAGATATCGGCGGGGTGGGAGAGCTCTCCTCTCCTCTGAAGGGTTTATCCATCTCGCTGGCTGTATCCTTCCTCATGATTCCAGGTGTTGAACGTTCGATCGGCAAAGTACAAGTCCTGACAAAGTCCCGCTCGCTTTTTAAAGGCTTGAAGAGGTGTGGTTAATGCCCCGGGGGGCTGGTACTGGTAGGTGTGAAGGGAGACGTAACAAACGGGAAGGCGGGGGTGTAATGTGATTGGCTGGATCTAACCGGTCGGCGGTGGGAGCGGGGGGAGGATCTAAAAGACTAGTGTTTTCCGAACGGAAATAACATCCATCCAATTCTGACTATTTCGAAACAGTATAGAAACCCTATCATTTATTTCACCCATCTTGTCACGCCACGCGTTAAACGGGATGGCTAGCAGTGTGTTGAACACCCCACATTCTGAATTAAAACACTCAAGCGCAAAAATAACCTCTGGTGTTTTCCCCCTAGCTGCTCTGAGGCTTGCACGGAAAAACCATCGCCCTGTAACCCCTTTCTTGGTCTCCCAAGTGGCCGTGAATGTCCTTTTTCTTGAATTCACCTCAGTTTCACCCAGAAGAGGCAACTCTAACTTACTGCGCTTAGAGACGGGGGAATCGCGGGTCCCAACTCTGATTTCTTGCTTCATACCGGGGGCCCATTCATCCTTCAGTTTGTCAAGCACCACAAGTTTTAGAACTCCCCAGTCATTTGACGTAAGCGTGGTCAAGGTATGAACTGGCTGCAACTTATCAGTCCCTTCACCCGTTTGATACAGACAGAGTTCCCCGGTCCGATACTTGAACACGTACCCCCATCTCCCACGGGCTCCATACGGCTCCAACGACCATTCCTCTTGCAGGACCTCACTCGGGGGCATCTGAAATCTGCCCAGAAACAATGTAGTCCTGCGGGGGGTCTGTTGAGCATCAGTCGCTTCATACGATATGGTAATTGGTGTCTCAGAAATGATAGCGCCCGATCTGCCTCGTTCCCGCGCCATATTCAGCTAGGTCCACTCTATCTGCTGAATGCATAAGTATGAAAGGGGCTTGTAACCAGCTTTCACATCAAGGGGTGGGGGGAGCTATCTCACACCTACAGGCACACACACACACACACACACACACACACACACATGCGATAACAAAAGATAGTCACAGATAATAAAACAGTGAAAAAAAAAAAACTCTTTTAAGAAAGATAAAAGAGACCTATAATAAAAACAATAAAAGATGTCACCTCTTACTTGAAATGGTTACTTGAACTGAGGTGTTAAAAGTTTGAACTCTCTTTTCATGCCCCCTTCAAGTCTCCATCCCCGGGGAAAGCTTCTCTGTATCCACTCACAGGTAATAAAAACAATGAAAAGAAAAAACCCTCTTATAAGAAAGATAAAAACAGATAAAACAATGAAAAACCTCTTATAAGAAAGATAAAAGAGGTAATAAAACAATAAAAGAATAAAAACAGACCTAATTACTTACATCTTCTTTGATCTAGGACAGAGACCTGTAATAAAGCAATAAATTAATAAAATAATAAAAATTCTTTGATCTAAGACAGAGGGCCATAAATCTTCACTAACGGAAGTCATAAAAGCATAATGTGACATTAGGGATCAAATATAATCTCTCATATAGCCCCCACTCTGTACACATTTCTGATTGGCATTTTACATCACTTGAATAACAATCAAACTTAATACTTTCTGCAAGAGAGTTTAGATAAACTTGTAGTTAATTACATATCTGTTCACATGCAAAAGAAAGGTAAAGAAAATGGTAATCCCCTGAAGGAAAAATTAAATTTAACAACAACTTTTTTCAGTAGTTTCATTGCAGTAAACTGATTTATTTTAATGACAGCACATACATTTAGCTAGCAAACATGCATGTCAAGTTTCACCATCATTTGCAGACAGAACCTCCAAATCCAAGGCAGAGCCACTCATTTGTGAACTCAACGAATCCCGGAGTTTTTGGAAGTCCACTTGCTGTAAAGAAAGAAACAGACGTACAGTATAACGTTTGTGGTTCAGTTTTATCTACAGATATGAGCTATAATATCAAGAATGTGTGTAAAAACATACCCTTCATAACTTTGTAGAGGTTGCAGTAGTTAGTGCCATTGTCAAACAAGCTGAACCAAAACGGAGACATAGAAGAGCCCTGAAATGAAGTTGGGACATATTAAAACACACTTACTTTAACTACAGTTTTGTACATACTGTATATAATTCACAGACTGTACTTATAAACAGTGATAAACAAGCAACATCTTTTACCTCCACATGGCAGCCTAAGCTCATGGTTGTGGGCTCCAAGGTGAAGTTAAGGGTCTCGATGTGCCCAACTGCGGATGTATGGTTTGCCAGAATTTGTTCAGGAGTTACAGGGCCAAGCTGCAAAGGGATATTCAGAAAACGTGTTTTGTAAATCAGTTTTGACTGAATAACAGCTTTACCAGTCAGTGGATTAAGCATCTGCTTGAACTAAAGAGCTCAGTAACCACTTTTTTATTTGTATTTTTTACCTTGTATGACTGCTTGCCTTTAATCCCAGTCACTATGGCCATGTTAACTTGACCACAGGGAAGTCCAAGTAACCTGAAAACAGAGAGTTTGAAATCTAGCTACATATCTACATAACAGCATCAAGATGATCATGGATTGTTACATATCTTACCAGATTATTTTGCAGAAGGCTTGTGACGTTTCTGTCGGTTTACCACTTGTGATGAGACACAGTCCCCAAAACAGGGCAAAAGTTATTACAGCAGTCCTTGCAGCCATGATGGAGTTTGTTCCTTCTTCTTCCAGATTCTGGATTGTGTAGAGTGGGGGTCGGAGGTAGAGCAATTTGAAGACCACTGGCTGGTCACGTGGGGCTCTTTAAAAGTGATCTGCATGACAGTTTGCGTGAAGAACATGATGTTTGTCTAATTTCTTACATCAGAAGACTAAACTATTTGAAATAAGTGAGCACATGTGCTATTTTATTTGCGACTGGAAATGATTTCCCTGCCTTGGTTACAATATCTGCTTCTCTGAGTACTGTTAGTGTGAAAAATAAAAAGTTATAAATAAGACATAAACAGCACGAGTTGGTAATCGTTCTTTCCAATTTTTTCTTTCTTTGACTTTGTTGAATTTTCGATCTTCAGGGATTGTTGTTTACGTTTGTTAGTTTGTTAGCTTTTTCACAACTCACTTCAGTCTAATTCCAGTTACTGTAGTTAACAGTTCAGTAACTGTTGGTTAAATCAATCTATCCACTATGTGTATTATGAATATTTATCAATGTATTTATCAATTTTCATTACAGAGTCGTTTATACTTTAAACCATAATTTTTAAACAGAAAAAGTGACTAAATGTTTTAAAATCACGCACATACATAATAGTCAACCACAGGTTGGGATTCTTATCAGTTTTGGGTTGTCGGGTTGTCCTTTATTTGACTCCTCATTTTCTCAGCTTGAGAATCAGAGCATAACAGAATTAATGCAGAATTTTTATGCATCAGTTTCCAACATTGTGGCGCCTTTGTACACATTTTCCAGCAGGTTTGGCAGATAATGAGTCAGGCCCTTCTGGGCCAACATCACAGAAAGCTCACTGAAGCTTTCTACTGGGCACAGCATATTGTGGAAAGCTTTCCCACAGAGTAGAGACTGGTGTCACAGCTTCCATGATGTAAATGTGATGTTTGTCTCATAAAAGTGTTATTTATTCATGTTAACTGCTTAAATGTATTTCATTGTAGTCAGTTCTCCTGCCGGAAGCTGAGGTCACGCTGAGACATGCGGTACATGAAGATGTTACAGGACAACAAAGCATTACTCGGTTTCTCCCTCCTCGGGTGTCATGCTCATTATCTGGCCCATTTACCACCACGAAAACATGAGATTAAATTAACACAAGGCTGAGCTCACCAGTTTATCATATTTTATTAATTATCTCGGAATTTATGGAAACAAACAGGTCCATTGATGAGAGGTGTCTTAAGGTCTTCGCAGCCTGACGAGTGTGAAAATGTTTTAAATAGCATAAACAGCACAGTTCAGCAATCCACCGGCCTTTATTGGCGTGTGGGTCATTCAGATGATCAGAAAGCACCACTGGTTCCCCATTAAGCTAGAGGAACATGCGTTAAGAGCTTATCAACAGGGTTTCATTTAGAAAACAAAAACCTGATTATGAACGACATTGTCTGTTGACAAAATAATCACTTTCTGGAGTTCACACTCTAATATTCTGCTGGTATGCGGCAAACCCAGTGAGACAAGACTCTATGTTGATATTAATCATGAATAAATGGTCCTCATAATACCAGAGGTTATTAATGTCTTATCTATGATGACTTCTCACGCGCCGTTGTTGCAGACATAAAGAAATAAATAGTCATTATTGATTCAATCATCAAATAAAAAAACGGTTGCTTACAGATCATTTGATGACCTTTATTTCTGATCTACATGGGGTGGGGTTGTTTGGTGTCATTTTAGTGAATTTTGTCATGCATCTGTGTGTTGTTGTTTACTCCCACTTCTTATGTAAAGAGAAAATCATTTGTTGCTATTTACAGCGACGACAAAGAAGCTAACTCCAGTTTTCCTTTGCGTTTTATTTTCTTTGGCAATGAAATACATACATGGCAGAATGCAGGGTGGTAATTCGCAAGTCAGATGACTTTTTCCAGCTCATGTGTGGAACATCGACAAATCAGAGTGCATGACCAGTTTCCCCAACACAACAAAGTAAATCCTCTGCAAAGGAAATCATGTGACTCGCAACATCAAATTGTTTTTTTTAATCCTCAAGACGACACAGGAACCAGGAATTGCACTGTGAGGAGAGTTATTTTAAAATCTTCCTCACAGCTACTCACTAGCTTAGAAATGAAAAAAGAAGAAGGTTCCCATATCTGAAAAGTACAGTCTCACAAATGCAGCGTGAGATACCAGAGCAGAGAGCTGTCTGTGCTCGGTTTTCATGCAGTGAAATTCTGATTAATTCTCTTTACCGTGACAAAAAACACACATTCCAGATTTCTCAATTCATCAGCAAGCGGAGAGTGCACATCCGAGACAGAGCCACTCATTGGTGAACTCCATGAAGCCTGGAGCTTTGGTTAGTCCACTTCCTGTTCAGACACCAAACACAAATGTGAATATTATGAAATAATTTCGATTTCAAAGTTCGCTATGTGTGGGAGAATAATGCGTCAGCTTCCTAGAATTGAGCCAAAGACGTCAAATGAAAGAGTGAGAAGACAAACCTTTGATGACGTTGCGGAGGTTACAGAAGTTGGTGCCATTGTCATACAGGCTGAACCAAACTGCAGACACAGATGATCCCTGAACAGCAGCCAAGCAGAACGTCTTTATTACATCTTGTAGCACTGCTAGAATAATTGTGTTTTTTTTTTACACTTACTTGTACATGACAGCCCAGAACCATTGACGTCGGAGTCATGGTGAAGTTAACGCTTTCGATCTGGCCAATCCCAGAAGTGTGATTGGCCTGGATTACTGTTGGAGTTACTGAGCCAAGCTGGATCGTAAAGCAGAAAAATTTGCATATTGAATATAATAAATCTGTGGATATAAAATGATTGAAATGAAACGTTTCTTACATTGTAGGACCCCATGGCTTTAATCTGTGAAACAATCGCCGTGGTAACTTGATCACATGGAACTCCAATTAACCTGAGAAAGAATGAGCGAGATAGATTAACAAATCATCTTAGAAACTATCTTCCTAACTTTCAATCTGTTGTACAGAAAAATAAATTTTACCAGACAATCTTGCAGAAGGCAGTTGTTGTTGGGATTGTTGCTTCTTTGCCGTCTGTGCCACTGCACATCCCCAAAAGGAGAGCACACACTGCCAAGGTAGTCCTCAGAGTCATGCTGGCATTTGCTGGTTCCAGAGGCAGGACTCACTGAATGCTTGCTCAGATTTGGTTTATATGGAGCGCTGCATGAATAGCTGCACCTATAAGACCAGTGGTCAGTCATGTGCAGCTGTGGAAAAGTGATTAGCTTGACATTTAGCATGAAATGAAAGGCATCTCTCGAAAGAACAGGTTGAGACTAAACTGAGAAAACCAGTGTCTTCTCCATGACCGCACAGCACATTTTTTATTTTTAAAAAGCTTGTTGATCTGAAAGACATTTTAAGCATTAATATTGTTATCACGAGGCAACCGTGTCATTATGAAAATTATCAACCTTTCTTAAGCAACAGATTCCTTACCATTATTTAAGTTCATAATTCGGATCCTTCTTTAACACTAGAAATCCCAAAGATAGGAGAATTTCAAGTATATTGTAAATCAGGAAAAGTGTGCTCTGCCAAATCTCTGATGTTTTTTTTTCATATTCTCACAAATAGTATTCAAATTACTGGGGTGTCAGTCAATGGTAAAAGTTTCTTTTTTTAAAGTAATGGAATGTAATCATACAGTCTATATTTCAATACAGTTAGTACAGTATAAAAAGGAGCAATCAAGGAAAGTGTGTTTCTCTTTGTAAAGAGCTGTGCTTCATGAGCTTTGGAATGTCCAACTGTTCAGAAACACATCTTAGACAAAACAACAAATCAGGCTTTAATTAACAACCCCACTGAGCTCTCACTGATGTGCTTTGTGGAACATTGAAAGCAAGCACGTCACAGCAGAAACCTTTGCCATTAAAATGTAGCTTGTTTTCAGCTTTTAATCACCAAGTGCTTTAAAGGGTCTGTGAACATTTTATCAACTGGACATGCATGAAAATAAACTAATACATAAAGGTTTGACAAAATATCAATCCCCCTAAACTGAAACCTATTATTTTTAATGATGACACTAATCTTGCATCGTGTGTGAAAATGATTTGAACCACCTACTGAGTGTATTTTTTCATCAGGTGAAATCTTTTGTTTGTACACTGCAGATTTTGCTGGTGTAAGGTTCCAGTTTGTCACAAATAACGGCTCTCATAACTCACTGTCTCGCTTCTCTTTGTTCAGCTTCTCCAAGCGTTCTCATAAATTCCCATTACCTGAGACTGAACAACTTAACCAGCCAGGGAATGTAGTGAAGGTGGACAAAAAACAAGCAGACCTCTAGGACAACAACACACAAGACATTATTTGTTTTACTGTCATGCCAATTAAATGGACAGTTATCCCCACAATCCTTTCTTGGGCAGCAGATTGAATGTTGGAGTGCACACAAAACTGCAAAAGTGTGTCCCTTCTTTCTGTCTGTAGAGGGCACCATATGATAATGATTCTCTCCTTACTCTTTTCCCTTGCTGTTATATAGTATTTAAACCAATACTAAAAATAAATTCTTAGAAGCATTTTTGCCTTCAAAGAAACATGCAGGAAAAGTTTTTTTCTTTTCTACAAAACAACATATATCTGAATGGATGTGTCAATTGTGGTAATATTAGGTGTGTTAAACACATGGAAAATACCATTTGTGTATTTATGTACTATTGTGAAATCAACACAAACTTTATATCATTTTAAATTCCTGTTCTTATATGGGTTGGGTTTTCATGTGTGAGATGGTTTTAGAAAGCCTTGTCTTTGAGCATCTCCCTGTGGCTGTGTCCATCTGAAACATCTAAGCCATGAATATGAATGGGAGGTGATATCTTATCTTATCACTAATTGGATGATACTCTGAGTTAATGAATAAGAAAAAATCATACAATTTTGGACAGATAAGTTCAACGTTGAGTGCCTTGACTGTTTTCAATTTCTCCCATTTGTTTCTGCAACACTCCATTGACCCTTGTTCTCAGATTAATGTTGGCCAGATTGATGGACTCTATCTTTGTCCCAAATCTCTTGGATTTGTAGCTCTTAATTAGTTTGCTTACGTTTTTAAAATCTATACGTTTGTTGTATTTTCTGTCCTCGTTCAGACAGTAAACATTCCTACATTTGTTTGTGTTCCATAAATTGACCAGAACTACAAACTTCATGTCACGTTTCCTATGTTTCAAAATTGGACATTGTATTTGCCAAACAGGAGCAAAGCAAGCGATGGAGATTCTTTAGACAAAGCAGTTTTCATAAGAGGTATCAGCGTACATTATTTCCATTGGTTTGGAAAATATAGTTGTGATAGTGACACTGACAAAATAATAATACTAATAATAATAATAATACTGAAAATATGAATGATGTATAATAAGGTGGGTGTGATCAAATGAAGGAACAGTCATCTATACCCCTAAAGTACAAAGGTTCTGCGTGGAGCATGGTGTCAGATTTTAAAGATGGCCAATATTGATCCCTGCTGAACCTGAAGCTGAAACTGACAGACAAACGTAGTCCCATATGTTCACTGCACTGATCTATAGAGTCATTTTGTTGACAAATGGATGGCATATACTGTAGGTCCTGCCGTCTGGATTTTTTCAGCCATTTGCAGGGATGGTGATGACTATACACAGGGCAGTTCCCTGCAAAAGGAGACCAAATGCTGCTGTGGATACCATCTGCTGACAGAAGAGCTAACAGAAAGAGCCACAGTCTGTCTTCTGATAGCTGTTTCATAATCATATGTCCTTCAGCTCATTATGAAGAAATCTGTAAAAATGAGTTTTGATTGAATTATCTGCTTCTTCAGTCTGTTAGCTCTCCTTTTAGAAGCTGCTTATAACTTCTACTTTGCATTATATACTGTATCATACATATTTAATATTTGGTATATGCTTATTCAATTATATGATAGATAGATAGATAGATAGATAGATAGATAGATAGATAGATAGAT